CATGTTCTTAACATTCACCATGGTTACCATTTAAAACTTTATTTATTCTGGAATGTGCTTATCTATCCCTCTGACACTTAGTTTGATTTGATTTATTTTGGCCAATGCAAAATGTGGGAAAGCAGCAAGACTAGATCTGAGAAACAGCACCTGGGCTGAAAAGAATGTAATTCAGTGGGATCGATCTCACTTGGCCATCTTAAAAAACAGATTTCTAGTCTAGATTTGTATGTGTGGTCACTGAGAAAGTTAAGCACAGTCAGGGATTCAGGCAGCCTCATGCTGTATCTAGAGCAGGTGGGACAAGTGCCTGAAACACTTATCTGTCCCCCAGTCTTCAGAGGAAACTTGATTCTTGGAATGCCAAAGTGGGCCAGAGAGCTGAAGGCACTGCTGCAGCCAAGGTAGTCAGTGTGTCACTCTTGATTCACTTTAAATCTGCTGCCTCCCTGGTAAACACTTGTTTCTCTGAAATTCTGTCTTATCTTTTTGTCCAAAATAAAACATGTTCTGTTTTACTCTACCTTTGGAAACTAAAGTCCCTGGAGCAAACAGCTGGTTTAACATCTGCCTCCACTGATCCTTTTGCTAAGGCTGCCAGCAAAGTTGCCGCTTTGCATCACATGCTATATTGGCCTCCTTAATGAGAACCCCAGCCCAGGGGGAAGCAGACTGAAATGCTTCATGCTATTTTTCATAGGCCATTTCGTTGCCATAGTGACACAGTGATACTAACCTGGACCACAGATAACTGGAGGTCAACCTTTCTAAGCCACAGGAACAAGTAAGCATGTGCAGAGGTGAGCAACCTGTTGCCTGTGACTGAATTGTTGCCTTCCTCAGTTTCACTGTTTTTCTTTTTTTCATGTCTGATTAACAGCCAAGCCACAAAAAATCAATCATGTTTATGAGGTTAAACAGTTTACAGATTTTTGTTGTAAGCCTGCTCATGCATTGCAAATTAGTAATGTTGTTAAGGAGTAACTCCTATCTGCACAGATAAAACATTCTATTTGCACAGATAAAACATGCTAAGAACACGCCATGGACTGTTAATGCACTAACTTCATCCAAATCCACCAGTGACAATTTGCACTGTAGCCTTCTCCCTCTCTAGGGATGTGAGTGCCTGCCATGTCATTGTAGCAGTTTTGTCTTTACTGCAAGGAAGAGAAACATCAGCCCCTTAACACCAGTTATTCTTTAGATATAAGCAGCCATGTCAACAATATATGCTAATAAGAACAATAATAGAAATTATTCACTATCTATATCACACACAGTGTATTAAGGGAAGGAAAGTGGGGGTGTTTTGAATAGCAGAAGTCTGACCAAGAGCAGGACACAGCATGCAGGATGATGGAATTATGAACAGTAGCAGAAGCCAATTAACTCCTGCCTGTTGAATCTCCTGCACACTCAGCATCTTCAATTCATCCACAGCCTCTACTGTCACTGGCACCCTCAATCCTAGTACAGTGCTATGAATAATGTATTACCTTGAGGGAAGGGAACCAACTGTTTCTGAGTTTGACAAGCTTTTTTAAGCTTCTTGTTTTGTTGCTAATTTAAGCATGTTGCTATTTCCAATACTACACATGTAAAATTTTGGAAGAGATCCCCAGAACCCAAAAATGAAGCCAGAAGCTCTGAGACTGCATTAGGATGCGGAATTAGCTCTTCTCAGTGAGCTCTGACAACTCAGCAGAGGAGAAGTAGTGGCCCGAGACCTGAAGAGGAAAACCCAGAAAATGTCCTAAGTTTGCAATGCTGCTGTTGGATTACAGATTTTTTGGCAGGATGGTCTGCATGAGCATGCAAGTGTGACAGCTTGTGACAGCTGAAGAATTTGAAAGCTGTCCAGCAGTTAAACTTGCCCCAACAACTGATGCAGGTTTCAGACATTTGCAATTCAACACAGCAGATTTGTTGGTATTTTTTCCCTTCATTTTTAAATGGTTGCGGAGAAGGATCTCTTCAGAACAATGTGAAACTGGTTATCAGAGTTTAAGCCACAGTGCAGTGCTGATACTTCTAAATACATGCAACATGTCATGATTTTGCACTGCTTGGTTTATATAGGAAAAACTGAAAGAGGGCTGTTAAATATGCCTGATCCTGCTGTTAGGTTTGGTAGGGAACACCATAAGCACAGGAAGAGATAGCATTGTGAAATGGTATATGCATACATGAACTGCAGTAAGACCTGTTAATGACTCAACCACAAGCATTTCTTCAGAACAGACAATTCCCATACAACATTTCCCAGGTTTTAAAAGCTTTGGTTTTCTGTTTGCAGAGGCATGCTTCCAGACTTCAAAAAGCCTTTCTAAACAGACTCAGATCTGAAACTGGTTGTGGGAATGAGCAGTGAAGCCAAAACCACAATCACAATTAATGACTATTGGCTCTCTGGAATTAAAAAAAGAAATATCCTTTGGGATCCTGCAAGAAAACCACACTTGTAGAGTCCCAGCTTAGTAGCAATTCTCCCATGCAGAGGCTTTTGTTTTTGAATGGCAAATATTACCAGAGTGATGCAGAACAAAATTTATCCACCACTCTACCACTTCCATCACTATTTCCTTCTTGCTCTGAGTTCCTGACCTCTGTGCACTGCATCACAGAAAAGCCTGTGTGATGGGGAGTTTCAATCAGGCAGAAAAATCTGACACAAATCTGTAAAAAGTGCTCTGGGGGAATGACTGTTGGCTCTGTTTACTTGGGCATCATGATTTTTGTACAAAAAAAAAGGTCACTGGATCTGCCTCTGTGATGAGTTCATGGTCTCTCATCTCTCTGAGGCTGGAGTAGAGGGAAGCTGCACAGAACAGGTTTGCGGCAAAGAGACCGATGAGCCCAGATAGGGTCTTCACATCAGCTTCCCTCTGCCTTGTTCAGGCACTATGCAGTAGATCTCCTCCCTCTCTCTTCAGAGGGGTGGCTTTGTTCCAAACAGAAACTCAAGACAGCAGATGTGGCTACTTGCAGCTATGTGAAGAAACAGAAGCATGTACATTCTTACTCAGAGGAACAAAAGATCATCTGTTTTATAGGAAGGAAAATATTGAAAGAAAGTTTTAACTACAGTATATGATTTCTGCATCCATTTCAGCTCCTCTAACTTCTCCTTCTCATCATTCCAAGGTATAACATTCTGAGAACTTTTTTATTTATGAAGAAAATGCCAGGCAAATAAGAACACTTTCCCTATCACTAAAAGTGTTGTTGAAGAAACGTTGACTACCATCTATTTGGCATCACAGCATCAATCTTGATAATAAATTTCATTTAACTTCATAAAGGTGTCCAACAAAAAAAACTTGCAACCTAAAATTAAAGGCAGCTGATGCAACTACAAAGTTGCTGAGAATTTGTTTTACACTTTTCTCACAGTGACATAGAAAAGTGTCCCTAGATAGCCCAAATTTTTTTATTAACTTCCCTTGTCATAACACAGAAACAATAACATAATACTTAGCATTAGTGCTGAAGTTCTAGGTATGCTACCTTTACACAAGCTTATAAAAAGTAGAGACTGTATATTCTTATACAGTAAGTCTGCTCTAATTTGGGGAGTTAGGTGACTTATTTGCAAACACTGTCATTGTCTCCATGGTGATGCTGACACCATGCATCTCTGTGATTATAAATTTCCTTATACAATAAAGAGTCTCTGAGAGGATGAGGATGATGATACAATCTGTTTTAGATGGCTTCTCCAATTTGCTAGCAGAATTAGCATTTATTCACCATTTCCTATGAAAATGTTTCCATCAAACAAGATCAGCTACAGAATTAACCTAAGGCATTTCCTATTGGCAACTGTCAGAGACAAGTTGAGCCACAAGCTTTTGGTCCAAACCTCTATGTTTGTTCTCATCACACAGGACTGTGAGTGGTGAGAAGAGAAAAAGAGTTTGGCCAGAGAAATTGGCACTCTGACATCAGCACCTACTGAACAATGAGGATGTGCCAGTGAAGTCAGAATGAAATCTCAATCTACTGACAGCTATTTGAAAAATTTTCACTCTAGGGAACTAGGTATAGATATCAAAACCACAGATTTATTAGCTAGGAAATAGTGTTCCTCTTTCAGTGGTGAAACATGAACTTTGATCCATTTATGATTCTTGCATGTCTCACTGTTGTTCCCAGGGAAAAAATGCACGCTACATCCTGTGTCTGTGCAAACTAATAGGCTAAAACTTGTCATCCTGGGTAGAAAATTCTCAGATCTGTAGTTTGGGTGGAAATTCTGCAACCTCAAGCTTGAACAGTTTTTATAAGTCATTTTTCAGACAGGTCATAGAGCTGCAGATGCTGTTTATCAAGGCAGATAAAAGATTAACTCCTCCAATCCCAAAGATGCTCTAATATCAGTGTTCTAAAATCAGTGTTGCTCTATAAAGTGAGTGAATGTCCATTTAAGTAAGTTTCTGGGCTAATTCCAATGCATCTACCCTCCTCAGGCAAACAAAAAAACCACTCCTGCATAATAAGTTCAGATGTCTTTGATAGGTTGAAGTCTGTACAGGTTCAAGACAGAAAGATCTAACTGGATAATCTGGACATGTGGTGAAAGTTATTTACTTATTTTCGTAACGTGTCTCACATTATGGCTACTAAATCCATAAGCAAACTCACTTCTGGTCTGGATTAGATAAATGCAAAGTTTCTCATGCCTCCCAGTGCTGTTGAGTCTTACCTTTGATTACAGTGAACTTTGATTAGGCTCACGTAAAGCAAAACCACTTTGAATCACTGTACAAGTTTTAACTAACAATATGCAAGTGCAGAATAACATCAGCCCACATCAGTACAACCCCAAAGGCAGTACACCTACAGAGGAAAACTGTCTGCCATTATTTTGAAAAGAAAAATCTGAGAAATAAGCAATGCTGAAAACGTGCCTATTAGGGGACAGATACACATCTTACTTCAACTGGATTAACTGAAGGAAATAATACTATATTCTTTACAACAGCAAAGAACTGGACTTTTTTTTTTTTTCAATTGACCTGGACTAATCTAAATCTTGAACTGCCATTTGCATTAACCAGGGAAAGTACTGCCTTCCTCTTTTTGGTGGTTTTTTGATCTTCATTAGATAAAGCAGGAGACCTTCAAGCCAATCCAGCAACAGAGGAAATTTCCATATGACCAATCATTATTAACAGATTGGATTTGAAATAATCAATCTGGACTAGAAGTACAAGTCCAAATAAAAAATGTGGAAAACTAGTACCCAGAGAGCTTCCAGTGTCTGCTGGAATTCCTCAGAATAAGTTTTCACAAGACCAAATTTTTAAAAAAAGTTCAGGGCTTCTACCAAAATTCATTTTGACTGATAATTTAGAGGGCAAACAAGCCCCACTGCAGAGAACTTTTCTGTTTGTCCACATATTGATCTTCTGCACTTTGTTTGCATTGTTCTGGAAAGACTAGACATACAGCACTGTACGACAAATACTGAACATTATTTTATATAAGAAGACAATGCTCATCTAAAGCTTTAGCATAAACATCAGGTAAAGAGATTTACCAAAGTGGGATCTTTTTCCTGTAAAATATTGGTATTTTTGTTGCCAAAAAAAGTCAAGAAATGCCTTCTTCCTACTTGTATAATAATACATTTGATTGGTAAAATGTATGAAATACACAGCAACTTCTTCGGAAAAGCTATCTAAGCTCACTCAGCTTACAGTATGTGGAATGTAATTATCCAGAAACTGAAATATGTATAAAAATAGGTAAAATTCCTACAATATTTGTATTAAATTATAATTCCTCCTGCCAGGAAGGTTACAACAGCTCTACAGTACATGTATGAAATGCTTGTTCATAAAGTTAAAAAACATCATTACCTTACTGAAGAACACATTAAATGTAGGAATGCATAATCAGAACTGACTCTCAATTCTGCTTAGCTGGTGCAAATCTACAGAGAACCACCATCATTTCCGCACAAAACAAAACCAACCTCTAATTTGAGAGTTGGGGTGTTGTTTTGTTTTGTTTGCCATAGAGGGGCCAGACTGAAGTTTATGAAAGAAATTCCTCTGGAAGTGGAAATAAATTGCTTAATATTTTTTTTCCTATCTCCACTTTGTTTACTGACAGCAGTCACCCACCTTTTAAAATGATTATTGCCTGACATTTCATGGAGCTTTTACCGCCTGTTCAGAACAAAGCAGAGACATACAAAGAACTTCCAACTCCCCTGTCATGACCCAGTTCTGGGCTTGTGCTTTTTTGACGAGTCTTTGATCTGCAGCAGGCCTCATAGGCTAGTCTCCCGGAGGAACATGGTGCCAATGTTGTAAGAAACCTTTCTCACTCTGGCAGATGTGATGGAGGGTTTTGGCGGCTTCTGACCACTTCTGACCTCAAGGAAGTAACAGATCCCAGGAATTTCCTTTGGAAAGTTTTCTGGAAGCTCTTCACGGGAACGAGGGATAAAAATAAAATTTTCTTCCTTTTTCAAAAGCCTAGGGGGAAAAAAACAAAACAGAACAGAGGGGTATAAATAAGTGTAAAACACATTCCAGAAATGTTTCTTTGGAAAAGGTTGATCCCATGTAGTATCAAGTGAAAAATGAGTTAACAGTATTACGTAATATCTAAAGAAATCCTAAGTCTGGATCCTTAGTTGATATATATGTACTTATCATCGTGAACTTCAAGGAGCTGTTGACTGGAATCAGCTGCAGGAATGGCCCCAAAAAAACATTCTCTGAAAATTAGTGTCAGCATTCAGAAAATAAAGTACCAGAAAGGGAATTGAATTCATAATGGTCATTGTCCATAAAGTATCATTTCACTCAATTAAAACACTCCAGTCGGGACAAAACTTAACAGAAATAAACATTTCAGAGTGATGACTACCACCACACTTCCTGCTAGAAAGCAGATATGAAGGTGGCAGTGTTTGGGAGCTCTCACAGATTAAAGCAGGGTGGTCAGTTTGTGCTCTTCTCATACATAGTAGTACTGCATTTCATAAATTAGGTTCAAATACAGAAAATCCAGCTTCAAAAAAACCCAGAATAAAATCTGACACTATTCATCAAAAGTACCCGTGGGTTTAATCTATGCCATTTGGTTGAGGTCAAAAAGGGATATAGGTTCACAGGCGTCATGAAGCCATCCTCCCGGCATGCCTGCTCAAGGGGTACAACATCACAGACCTGACTATACTGCCTTCTATACCCACAGTTTGGACAGGGGCACTCTGTGCTATGTTAGGAACTGGCTGGAGGGCCAGGCCCAGAGAGTGGTGGTGAATGGTGCTGCATCCAGTTGGCAGCCGGTCACTAGTGGTGTCCCCCAGGGATCAGTGTTGGGCTCAGTCCTTTTTAATATCTTTACTGATGATCTGGATGAGGGGATTGAGTGTACCATTAGCAAATTTGCAGATGACACCAAGTTGGGGGGGGAGTGTTGATCTGCTGGAAGGCAGGAGGGCTCTGCAGAGGGACCTGGACAAGCTGGAAAGATGGTCTGATTCCAACAGGATGAGGCTCAACAAGGCCAAGTGC